TTAACATTTTATTATGGTTTACGCGATCAAATGCCTTTTCAAAGTCTACAAAACATAGAAAGACATCCTTTTGTTGGTCGTAACACTTCTGCAGCAGTACTTGTAATGAAAACAAGGCCTCTCTGGTCCCCATTCCGGCTCTGTATCCAAATTGATCGTATCCAACTTCTTTTTTCACACCTTTTGTATACCCTATTGTGAAGTATTTTTAATAGAATTTTAAGCACTTGGCTCATAAGACTTATTAATCTAAAATCTGCGCAGCGCCTGGAGTTAGCTTGTTTTGAAATGGGAATAAAAATAGATTCTAACCATTCCTCTGGTATTTCCCCACTATCGTAGATTGTATTAAACAAAATTACTAACAAATCAATGTTATTACTTTCGATCAATTTAAGTATTTCAGGATAAACTTCATCAGATCCAGGGCTTTTGTTGGTCTTTAATTGTTTAATGGCATATTTCACTTCGACTTTTAGAATTGGTGGGCTTTCAGTAACATTATTTATTGTAATATCTATTCTTTCATCTCGAACAGCTGTTGTATACATTTTTCCCATTCTTCTATTTTATCTTTGGTGTTATGAATTAACTCTCCGTTGTTATTTACCAGTGGGCAATGTTGTTTTTTGCGGATGAATGAAAATTCTTTCACCTTCTTGTACATTAAAGTAATCATGTCTATGTTCTAATTCTTCTATTTCTTTACATTTTTCTTCGAGCCATTTCTCTTTTGATTCTTTTATTTTCCTTCGTATTTCTGTATTTAATCGTTTGTAATCGCTTGTGTTCTTATTTTTGTATTTCCTCCTTTCGTCTATCATCTTTAGAATAGCTGGTGTCATCCAGTCTTTTTTTGCCATTAATCGTGTATTTGGAATTTCTTCCCTTGCAGAATTGACGAGGATGGATTTTATTTGTTGCCAAGTTGTATTTATATTTTGGATATTTATTTGGGTTCGGTCTATTTCTGAGAGTTTTTCATTTAGTTTTACAGTGGTTTTATCTTTAATCTGTACATCTTTTAGTAGTTCCATATTAGGTTTGTTCTTCGCTTTGCATTTTTTTATTACTTTAATTCTTGTTCGAATATTTGGTACTACAGGGTTGTGGTCGGAATTTGCATCAGCACTAGGATATGTTTTTGTACTTGTAATGGAGTTACGAAATCGTTGGTTGATTAAAACATTAATTATGGCTTAATCCCATCAAAAATATCATTGTCAACATAAAAATGTTAAATAATCAATAAAGTGATTGTATTACAGTCCTTGTTTAAAAAAATAAATGGCCCGATTTTCAATGAAAAGTCCTGGATTTCAGGTAATTTTTTTAGCCTTGTCCCGAATTCGACTGAATTGGAGTTGGTCACACTATTCATACTAAGAGAATGGATTCACAAAGTCTCTTTGTAAATTAAGGTTACGAATATCGCGAGATAGTTTCATGGTGTTCAAGCCAATGGGAGATTTTTAATGACCCAGCATGAATCACATATAAAACCATACTACAATATGTAAACCAACTTTAGAAACTATGCCGTCAAATCTTATCAGTACATGTGAGACACACATGTACTGATAAGATTGTAAACTTACCACTCTAGAAGAGACTTGAAATTGCGAAGGAAAACTCGTGTAACGATACTCATCGTATCACCATGTCAAAAAATTGTTAAAAATACGCAGTAAAAACAACATTCTCATAAAAAAATAAATTGAAAATTATTGAAATATTTGCCCAACAACTTAGTAGGCTGTCCCAAAATTCACGCAAGATTTGAATTTGCCGCCATTTGTGCAGTAAAGTATTGGCACTAAAAAACAATTTGACAGCTGACAGTTTAGGGTTAGAAAAATTAAGCGTTACACAATAGAACAACGCGTTTTCATTGTTGAAAAATATTTTAAAAATAATAAACGTTTGGCACCACATGTCAAAAATTTGGTACAAAATATGTCCGAAAGATTGATATAACATCGTCATCACTGTGAAGAGAATAATTGAAAAATTCGGGGAGACTAGATCAATTTGTGATGCTAGACACAATGTTCGTCCAAAAATAAGTCGCTCAGATATCGATATGGAAGGAGTGCGTGTGAGTGTGGGTGAAAATCCAGGAACATCAGTTCAGAATTATTGCAAACTTCAAGAAGCTCTCTACAGCGTATACTCAATGAAGATCTATGTTTCCATAGTTACAAAGATCAATTGACACAAGAATTGAAGCTTAATGACCATGCACAGCGAAGAGAGTTCGTTGAATGTATTATTAAAATTAACAATTGGATGCTGATTTTTTTAGCAAAATCATCCTTAGCGATGAAGCCTATTGTCACCTTCATGACTTTGTTGATCGTCCAAAATTGCCGCATTTGTGGTAGTGAGAACCCACATGTGACTGTGAAAAAACGCGTCCACAGCATTTTACTGTTTGGTGGTTTAGGCTGGAGACATCATTGGATTATTCTTCTTTGAAAATAAGGCTGGTCAAGTAGTGACTGTTACTGGTTCTCGATATCCCAACATGATAACAGAGTTTTTGTCTGCCTAAATTATATGGCATTGATATAGACGAAATATGGTTTTAAAAAGACGGTGCCACATGCTATGAAATAATTCAATTACTGCATGAGACATTTCTTGGTCGTGTACTCTCTAGTTTCGGTGATCACAATTGGTTACCTAAATCGTGTGATTTAAAACCATTGGATTTATTTTTAGGGAGTTATTTGAAGGCAGGGGTCTATGCCACAAAGCCCAAAACCACCCGTGCATTAGGAGGAAATTCAAAGCTACGTCAATGAAATTCAGCCACATTTATACAAAAGGGTCATGGAAAATTTTGACAAAATAGTGCGTATGCGCCAGCAAAGCCATGGAGGCTTATGTGCTATTCCATATATAACCATATCCTCTGTACTTTATGATTTCATAAAAAAAATTACATTAAAAAAAAAGGAGTGTTTTCTATTCAATTTAAATCTTGCGTAAATTTTGGGACACCCTTCACTACCCATTCCCAGGATACTGAACCAGATAGATAATTAGAAACAGAACAATATTAACCAATGATTCCTAAAAAGATTAAAAAAATTGCACCTGTTTAATATTATAATATAAGTATATCAGTATAATATACACTGTCCGCTGATTCTTTACACACGTACGACATTATTCGCGATTATGTTTTATAACACTCTATTTTCTTTTATTCGCAGAACCTAAAACCGCTAAATTAGTCCACTTTTCCCTTTACAATAGAATAAAACAAAGACAGTAATAATAATAAAAGAAAGAAGTAGGTTTTCTAAAGCTAATGGCAAATTTACGGACACCAAACAAAGAGGAAAGTCTTAGAGAACTGATAAACACGCACCTTCCGGACTCAACAATTCTGGATGATGCAGATAGGCAAACCAACATAGACCAAAGCTGATTAGACCAAGGTCTACAGATTGGGAAATGGCCACAGCAATCACAAGACCAAACAGAATTAGATGGACTGTAAATAAGTTTCGGTTATATAAGTCTCCAGGGACCGATGGTATATATCCATTACTGTTGCATATGGAATTAGAGGTATTGATATCACACCTATGCAAGCTCCTCAAAGCCAGTTTAGCATGGGGGGTCGTACCGGAAATATGGCAAACCAAAAAGTGATATACTTGAATAAGGTAGGTAAAGTATCAGACCTAACACCAAAGTCATATAGACCGATAAGCTTATCTTCTTTTCTATTAAAACCGCTGGAAAGGCTTCTTGATAGGTACATCAAAGATGAAGTGCTAAGAGATAATCCTCTAAGCAATCGTCAATATGCATACCAACCTGGTAAATCTACGGACTCATTGAATGATCTAAATAGGCTTACCTCAAAGTTAATGGAAGACAAAGAGATAGCCATGGAAGACTTTTATTGTCTAGGATATACTGACGATATATACTACCAGCTCTTTGATAGGAGCTATGAGTAGTCGAGGAGCACCTGCGGTAATATCCAGATGGATAAGGGCATCCTGGAGAATAGGATAGTAATGCAACCTTGGTAGATGATCTCCTCAAAAATTTTGTCCACAGAAGACTTTTATTGTCTAGGATATACTGACGATATAGTAATAAAAACTTTAAAAACCTTTACTATTTCCTAATTTATACATCGACGGCACATATTTGACTTAATTTTTTCGTATAATCATGACGTTTGTGCAAAGAATCAACAGACAGACTATATTGATTTCAGTTGTCCAATAAAAAAAATGGATCAGCGTGGTAACAGAATGTCAAAACTGCAAAAGGTTTGTAAAATCTACTATCTATCCAATGTTAAAGTACAATTTTTTTCTATGGAACTGAACTAATTTAATTTTGCTTTGATACTAATGTTATCTTTGTAATAAATATTAGAAAAGAAAATTAGCTTTACCAAAGATAGGCCAAAGGTTGCAAAACCGAGGTTGAAAGATTGGGAGAAGCCGTGTTAAAGACTTTTCCAAACGGATTCATGGCTTAATGTTTATTCGAATTTATCTTAATGAATGCTTCCAAATGCCACTTATAAATATATACTGAATATTGTTTATTATTAATGACTTGTTTCCATTGTCACGTTTCTGAATTTTCATGTTTTTGGAAACACGACAATTATTTCCAAGTTTAGCTTTTATTATTATTGCCAGGTTCCTCCAACAAACGAATTTTTTTGAAATAGTACATCCATTAAACATCTTTTTTAAAAATCTGAAAAACAGATCAGATAGTGATCTGTTTTATTGATATTTATTGAATATCGATAAAGAAAAAAATTCAAGCAAAGTCTTCTTTGGAACATTCCTCTGAAGTATTAATGAATGATTATTCTAATAATACTTATCTTATTTTTTCAATATTGGATAGATAGTAGCAACAATATGGTGCAACAATTTTTTAAAGAAAGAGTGCTGTAGTTTAATAGAAAGTATGCAAGTATGGAGATAGACCCTTAACCATATAATTACCCATGTTAGATCTGTTAGAATAATGTGATTTTCTGTGCGCACCAGCCGTGTCTGAAGATTGTGGTCCGTGTTTCCAGGACGATGAGGAAGATGCCTGAAATAGAAAAGTACAGTTATAAAATTTACGTTATTAGCATTTTATATACAAGTATATATTATGGTTCGTTGCAAGATAATCTAGAAAGCGCAAAGCTCTGACAACCCTGTAAGTGCCGAATCAGGTTTTATCTAGAAAATAAATTATCCTGACATCTCGTCGATATTCTATTCCTTCCTACTACTGGAGCCTTTTTCATTTAAAAGTTTCGACATTGGTTGCTGTTCTGACATCAAATTTTCGAAGGGGTCTCCTTCCTTTCGGTTCTTAATTTAGTTTTTGTGTGTTTAATATATTTTTATCCACTTTGTGTAGGGTACTGGAACCAGTTTTGGACACTCAACAAATTAAATCATTATATTAAGCAACCTTTTACTTTGATTACCTCCACAAACACGGAAAACCTTAATAGAAATCTGTAATAT